ACAGTTTTCTTTGCACCCCGCGAAAAACTCGTTTACATAAGAACCTTGGGAAAACGCATCCAATTAAGACAAAGAGTAATGAACAAGCAGATGGTACAAAAAGAAAAAACTTTACTGGTGGGCAAATTAAGATCTATTGGACATTTTTTTAATTAGCAGAACATGTACAGATATATAAATCGTTATCATGGAATACTGACTCTTAATTCTCCTTATGACTTTTAACTAATGATTCACTTGTATGTAATTGAACTGAAGTATCTAGACAAAGAGAGGGTTCCGCGGTAGCGGTACCAGCTTTCAAACCACCAAAAATTGCAGATAGCTCAAATAAAAATCAACGACCAGCTGTCAATAAATTTTATCTTAATATTAGGTGGGAGGGAACAAATCCAAGACTGGGACGAACCATTCTGAACCTGGTTATTGGTACTATTTTGAAATCAATCCAACAAAAAGACAAGTAGAGTATTGCTTTGGGTCCAAATATGCTTACACAAAATTCCTGAATAAGTTCTTTCCCCTAAGTTTCTTTTTGTTTTCACTCGTCGTGTTTTGCGGATTGAGACTCTGGGATTGCATGTTACAGCCTAATGTAACTGCTCTGTAGCTGGATAGTTATCGCCTACATTTATGCACAGGGAGAAATTAGTTTACTCGGTGACAATCAAATGTTCTAAGGTAATGATAAAAATGTACACATTTCTTTATAGAGCCAACGCGTACACTGCACCTAACAGAGTATGAATGAACTCTTGGTTTATTCAAAGAGTCGAGGACAACATCACTTATGTTGACACTGTAAGATTTGTAAGGTTTGTTTAGACCGAGCACACTTTGCCGTTTTTGTAGACTGAGCACACTTTGCCGTTTTGCTTTGACCGAGCACACGACTTAAGACTAAGTTACACAAGTACCGTTTAATCCTTAATTGTAAAGGGTTCATGTTTTAAAAAAATATCTCCAAGGAGATTCTGTAAGCTTATTTTCTCACCTTTGCTGTCTGCTTTGCAAAACAAAACAGGACAAGAAAAGACAATGAAATAAGATTGTGGTTTTCACAAGCTCTTTGCCGTTTGCGTAGACTGAGCACACTTTGCCGTTTGTGTAGACCGAGCAGACTCTGCCGTTTGTGTAGACCGAGCACACTTTGCTATTTGTGTAACCGAGTACACTTTGCCGTTTGTGTAGACCGAGCAGACTCTGCCGTTTGTGTAGACCGAGCAGACTCTGCCGTTTGTGTAGACTGAGCAAACTTTGCCGTTTGTGTAGACTGAGCACACTTTGCCGTTTGTGTAGACTAAGCACACTTTGCCGTTTGTGTAGACTGAGCACACTATGCCGTTTGTGTAGACTGAGCAGACTCTGCCGTTTGTGTAGACCGAACACACTTTGCCGTTTGTGTAGACCGAGCACATTCTGCCGTTTGTGTAGACCGAGCACACTTTGCCATTTGTGTAACCGAGTACACTTTGCCGTTTGTGTAGACTGAGCACACTTTACCGTTTTTGTAGACTGAGCACTTTTTGCCGTTTTGCGTTGACCGAACACACGACTCAAGACCAAGTTACACCAGTACCATGTGATCCTTAATTGTAAAGGGTTTATGTTTTAAAAAAAATTTCTCCAAGGAAATTCTGTAAGCTTATTTTCTCACCTTTGCTGTCTGCTATGCTGGTCTCTGCACTTCAGGTGCACTGTAGGCGAAACATCCTGGGCCAATTGACATGAACTGTTCCTCAAACTTAGCAGAGCCATAATCTGACACTGCCTCGCCATTGGTCACCCTGTTGCCATAACAACACATTGCCGCTACTAACATCGCGGTGAAAAATAGGGAAAGGTTTCTTTTGGTGGAGGCAGTTCAACGCTCGAGCCACATCGAGCGAAATTACGGTGATTTCCTTACGGGAAAGACGTCGTTGTCTGAGTAGCTCGCGCAAATTTGATTCCATCAGCTCAGTAGCAAACAATGGAATTTTCTTGTCATTAGTCGCTCCAATAAACTGCAGCAAGCAAGGGTGTCGGCATCTTGAAGCAATATCAATTTCCCTCTGGAACAAACTCTGGTCGTAAGGCGAATTAATTGCCTCATGGATTTGCTTCACGGCAACAGAACAACCACAGTACCTGCCCTCGAAAACCTCGCCCCACCCTCCAACTCCAAGGCTTTTATCAGTCAACTGAATATCATCCCAGGAAATTACCCAGTCATTGGACTGCGATCCGGCTTGATTCTCGAGGTTAACAACCTGTTGTCGTGGATTTGCATTTTCTGCTACAATTTCTCTAAATCGCTCCTCCAGCTTCGTTCGAAGGGTAGCTAAATGCTGATCATTTTCTCTGAGTTGTTCACGCAACTCTTGCAACTGTATCTGAAAGTTTCCTATTTATTAATCCCTTTCTCTAAGCTGTTCACCTAGCCTTGTAGCTTCTTCTATCATTTCTTCTCTCAGCCGTTGTTCCATTAAGTGCACCCCTATTTGCGCGCGTAGGTTCTCCTCTTTATGCTCCTTCTCAATCAACTGATGCGCCGTCTCCCTCAGTTCTTGCTCTCTCTCTGATTAGTTCACGAAACTCATTTTCTCTCATCTCATTCTCCGCTGTAACCTCTCTCGATCGCTGTTCCATCTCCCTAATTTGTCTCAGCAAAGTTTCCTTTTGATGGTTTTTTTCTGACAATTGCTGTTCCATCCCGCTCAAATGTCTCTGACAGTCCACAGCCTGCTCCTCCCTTTCTCTAAGCTGTTTGCGCAACTTAGTTTCTCTCGTTTCCTTTTGTGTTAATTCTTCTTTCATCCTTTGCTCCATCTGCTCTAGGTCTGATCGTAAATTTTCTTTTTGTGTCTCTTTCTGCGTTAATCGTTGCTCAACATCTTTCAGGTTCGTTCGTAAATTCTCAACTCGATCCTCATTCTCTCTCAGCTGTTCTTCTACATTCGTTAGCTGCGTCTTAAGATCTTCTTCTCGCTCCTCTGTCACTGTCAATTGTTGTATCATCTCCGTTAGCTGCTGGTCCTTTTCTGTGATCTGTTCACACAAAACTACTTGTCTCGCATCTTTCTCAGTTATTTCTTCCCTCAACCTTCGTTCCATTTCTTTAAATTGTTCTCGTAAAGTTTCATCACCCTTAGCTTTCTCCTCCAGTTGTCGCTTTTGCATCCCCAGTTGCCGCCGGAGGCTTGCTTCTTGACAATTCTTTCCTCTGAGCTGTTTTCGTAGCAGAATTTCTGTCGTTTCTTTTTCGTTTAATTCCGCTCGCAATCTTTGCTCCCTATCCTGTTGTGTTCGAAAATTCTCTTTTCGATCTCCTCTCATTGTCAACTGTTGCTTCATCTTCTGAATTTGTCTCTGAAAGTTTTCCGCTTCCTGATGCTTTCTTGAGAGCTCATTGCTCAACAAAACTACTCTAAGTTCTGTTCTTGTAAGTTCCTCTCTTAATCTCTGTTCAGTGTCACTTAAACCTGAAGAAAAGTTCTCTTCTTGTCGCTCTTCCTCTTTCTCTCCGTCGTGGAATCTAACAGCTGTAATGGAAAAGTCTTCCTGGTGGTCCTCTTCGGCAACTTGCGTTTGTTGAAGTGCAGTCTCTTGCTGTTTTTCACTATCTTGAAGTGCTGTAAAAGGGTAACATGACAGGTAATTAGCCATAAGCATCCTCAGTAGAAGAACAAATGAACTCCCAGGGCAGCGAAGTAGTGGTATATGTACTTGACGTGGGAAAAACAAAAACAAAATGTCTTTCGGTAGAACAGTGATTTTTGCCTTGATAATGAGAGCTTTTATCTATTGTTGCTCAATCGTTGATGATTAAGTTTTGTGCCTGTGTCTCATACATAGATAACTCTACGACTCACCCAGCACAATTGGCTTTATGTTTAAAAGACTAGTATTCCCTACCTGATGAATCGAATTCCTCAGAACTCTCGTCCTCTTCCGGCGTTTCAGGCTCTTCAGGTTCAGCGTCAGACTCTCTCTCTAGATTCCACAGGAATAACCACGGTAAAATCATCTTTATATTAGAATGGCTGTCTTTCATTTCTATTTCCACATCCACCTCGGCTGAATCTTTCGTCCTATCCGGAGTTCAAAAAGGAATTTTATAGCCGTAATTACTTTTACCAGAATATCACAAAGTCACCAGGAAACCTACTCAGCTATACGGGAGACAATTTCAGGATAGATATAGAAATCAGAGAATCATATGAGATACTCAGTAATTCTTACATTTTTAACTTCAAGAACAATTGGACCAGTTTAAACACTTCATACGTAGGTAAATGACAAAATACAATAAGGCCTGTTTTAATTGTAGGAAATAACAAGACAATTAAATTGTAAGGCTGATATCAGAACGGTATCCGCTCAATTCGCTACCACAACAAACCCGCCACCGAAAAGCTCGCCAACACTGAGTAAAGGGCCTTATATTCCTGGTGTTCGACAGCAGTCGGTTGTGAGGTCTGACCGTCCAATTGGGGGTAGCCCTCAAAGGAACTGGTGTTTTTGACTGAAGTTTTGACAACCTGGGCAGATTTTATCATCATTTTCACGTAAGGAGATGTTTGCCGGTCAAGGGATATCAGTTTGGTTAATAGATACTGACTGATTTATCAGTAGTTATTTCGTAATGGTTGTAAAACTGACGCGGCGCAAGTCAGTTATGGTTTGTCAGCTTCGACGACTCGGTTGTTTTGCTTGGTTCGTTGGATATGTCAATGACCTGCATAAGTTGTTTTCTTTGTGTCCGACACATAGAGTTTATTATATCTGTTGCGAAGAATCTATTTCATGTGAGTCCACCAGGTTGAAATGTTTATGGTTCTATTTCATTAAAATACTAAACAATTTACGGAAATAAGGGCAATAAATAGATATATCTGTAGTAAAGGTAAACTGAAAGAATATAACTGCATGCTAATAATAAATCTTCGAATTTTTCGATTACCGTTTCGAACTTGTGATTGTAGATAGCGAGAGGCCCCCTGAAGCAGGGTCCATGTTTAATAACCTCGAGTGCTTGCTTCATCCATATCTTCTTCAATGATTACCCCGGTATCCCTGATCCACCTGAAAATGCCAGAAACAACAGAATCACTTCTCTCCCAAAACACGCTGTGCTTTGCTTGCACAATGTTGAGTTGTCTAAAACAATGAAATGCACACGTAGTTGACAATCGATTCGCAGCAAGTGAAAGTGCAAACTCTCGTCACAATCTGTTGCCATGCGTAAAACCACAGTGCTTCTGACACTGAAAGTTTCTGTAATGGAAAAAAATCAGTCATGGGACTAAACCAAAAAATTTAGTAGCTAAAAGTGTGCGTTACCTTGCTAAGATATCTCATAGTCAGGAACTGACGTCCATTCAGTGAGGAAGGCGATAATAAATAAACAACGGCACATATGTCGCTTGAACCGAAAAATCGACCAATCTCAGACGGCAACACCGTGTCGTGAACAACAATAGCTTTGCATTATGAGTAAGAGGCCCGTTTTTAGAAAACTCTAGAGAGGCATAAAATATGCCTCAGGTTAAGGTGAAACTAAACACCACAACAGGCAGAGGCTTGTTTTGGGACCAGACAGTTAATTAAATGACAGTTAATTAAATGTATATATCCTACGTAAATAACACACTCAGTAGACTATTACATAGAAAGATATTGGACGAATACACTAAACCAACGGTCCAGTAATCAAGAATAAATTACAAACACGAATGAGATTAAGATACAATCAAAACTGTCTATAGTGTGGGTTGGAGGGAAACTAAAACTTTTTCTTAAAGCTACAAATAAACTTGTTCCTTGCTTGCTTGCTTGCTAGATTATTAATAACACGTGCAAAGATACCTAAGCAGTAATACTAAAGTAATTTCGCAATTAAAACGCATTAGCGTGGTGAATAGCCATTGGCTCTACCCAAGTCTTAGGACTTATATGCTGAACAAATTTTTCAATCTTAAAGAAAAATAAAAATACCAACATGCACCCCGCCTGTACCCAGTCCAGGCCTCTCAGTTATCGATGTCCAGATTCATATTAATAGAGATAAATATTCACTGAAAAGGTCACCGAATCGAGTCCCTTAACGGCTGTTTACTATAGAACCGCATGTACTGCTCTCAGCGGGGGTGGGGTAAGGTAATGCCTTGAAAACAAAAGCTCAATCAAGTTACAATCGATAAGCCGCTAAATCTAACTGAATTTCAAACCATCCTCCATATTCTATATATTAATTAAATCTGGAGGAAACGACTACATAGATTGAAAATAATGATATTATTAAACAGTTTTAACCACTATAGGGTTGGTGCTTGAAAAATCTCTAATTATTCAATTATAAAGAGTTAGGTGGTGAGAACTTATTTTACCCCTACGCCACGCCATATCCTTCCACTGGCTCGTGGTGTACCCCAATTAGACCATATACATAATAACACTAACAAAAGATAGGGTTTCAAGGTTTATTTAAGAGGGTTATAAATTGGCGATCAAACAGTAAAACGTATTGGAGGATAATGACCAAATTCAATTCAATCTGCTGAAAGAAATCAGAAATTAATAAGATTTAATGCCTCTATCCATTTGAAGCGTCAACATCCCTCCTTCCCAGGTAAGCCCTGGGGCATTTGAACTTTGATAATTGGTTTGTTAAAATTTGTTGTAGCCAGTTTAATGGAGAATGTATAGCAGCCGGTGAGGAGAATTAACAATCAGATCTTGAGGGTTTAAGGGTTAAGCTAATGAGAGCTCTCGCCTATGCCAAATCCTTAAAATGCATTAAAACTCTTTAAACAGGTAGCTTTCTATTACCTGTCCACTGTAAACACAGAAGAGTGCACATTGACGAACCAACAAAATATACATGGTCATGGTTGGGTCTTATGAGCCTGACTTCATTTAACAGCCGCCGCTTTCACTTTCCTTAGCGACATAACGGGAAGCTCATAAAAAACGTTAAGTAAAATTGGTGATATATCAAAATACAGTCTGTGCATGAATGGGTGAGTTAATTTATTTGGAAACAGGACATCAGCATTTATAAAACAAAACATTCCAAAGAAGGGGGATTGTAGTCTCGTACCCAGACCTTTCATGGCCAAGGGGTTACAATAATAGCTACACAGTAAGATCTGGGTATGAGATTAGGGGGGAATTGTGCATTTTGAAAGTTACGTACATCTACAGTAGTCACGTACCCAGATCTTCCACACATGTCACATGCACAGTTCACATGCCATTCCTTGCCGACTAAGTACTTGATTCCTTGATTCAGGTGAAGTGCAAGGCAAAAGTAAACTAGCATCTTAATTTGAGAATCTGATAAATGCTTCGTTGGTGGTGGAACACACTATTATCTGCGTTTTATGCTCTCCTTGGTAGACAGGGACAAATGTTTCCATTTTAAAATCGTATGAGCTTGATAAAGCTTTCAATAACTCTCCCAGCATCAGCTTCTAAATTGGATCAAAGCGGACGATGTAGTACTCCGAGCGTTTATCTTGGGGTTTCTCCTTCTGAACATTGTCGATTTCCATCCTGTACCTTGCGGAGAAATTTTTTTATTGGTCTGGTCGTGCGATGTGAAAGCGAAATTAGCTCCTCTGAGAAACGGAAATAAGGTTCTTCTTCTTTACTTGCTACGTCGTTGTTTCACTTAGTTGACTGAATCGGGATGAGGAAGATAAGAAACTCATGAAAAGTGTTAGATACGACTTTTCTAAGAAAAACGATGGAGACTCCTATATAACTTCGTAAATAACTGCTATGCCCAAAATAAGCATGACAGTTCGAAAGAGCTACGTCAAACAACTTTGACCTTTACGACACAATTATTGTTATTTACTGAAGTGTTTTAACGGATATAAATTTACCTTTGATGAAACACGTTGAAACTGTGTTTGGTGTCAAATTGACCTCAGCTTTGACTCTTGCTATGACTGCTATTATTTTCAACCGTCCAAGTGAACGAGTACAGCTATCTCAGCGACAAAGAAAGTTAACTCTAATTTATGTTCGTGCTGTGTCCGCACAGACTTCGTGACTCAATGTTGTAAGATATTTTCCGCCCATGGACCGTAACATAAAGTATATACAAAGTAAGGCAGCCATTAAAAAATGCTGCACTCATGATGAACTAATAGTTGCGTGAATCCAAGAGCCTTTATGCGGAACTTAAAGTGCTAGTGTTGTTGTCGGGAGGTGCACATTTTTGGCAAGTACTATTCCAAACAAATTTATTTGCTCCCGAAATAAAACAAGTTGTCTCCTACCTAATCGTCTGGGTTAACTTTTGTATATTACTTATTTTCAACGAAGATATTAAGCCAAGGCAAGGAGTCAGTGAAGGATCAAACTAAACGGGCTTTGGGCATAGGATCAAAAATTGATTGATAAAAGATTACATTCACAAGACTAACTGGTGACTTTGATGAAGAAAAAGGTTTCTAGTGATTAGTTTGAGACGTGGAATGTTTCTCGAGTTCTTCATATTTGTCTCCAGACCTGACACACTCAGCAAGTTCAACCCTCCTACAACTCTTCCATTTTCTGTTTACGTATAGTATGAGCACTTTATTCCTTTTTCTATCTTGCCGTCACCTTTGCTAGAGCTTCAAAATTAAAATTCGTCAATAATGAATAATATTGGATATACGTTTTAGACAATAGGTCGGCTACCTAGCGTGACCAAAATTTATCCCGACACTGAGGCTGATAAATTCCTAAACTGCTGAAGGACGAATTTCAACGCGGGGCTTTTAATCCTGTAATTCCCATGAGTGACCAAGACAGAATTGCTCCTTACAATATCGATACAATATCATGCAGACAATTGATGAGAATAAACACAATATCAATCTGGGGATTATTAGTTGATCCAAGACCAAATTCTCCAAACTAGCGTCATAAGAATTGTACGGTAGATAGTAAGGAGAATTAGTATTGAGATCTTGGGTGTAAAAGAGTCAATCACAGCCCCAAAACTTGGGCTATGCACGTCCGCTGTTGCTACAAGGTTCTTTATACTATTGAGACACTCCAGGAATAATTGTCTGGACCTTAACTCGTGAGATGTTTTTGACCCTTGGTTTACCCTAAGCACGAAACAGAAAACCCTTTCAAGTGAAGCACTCCATTCCACGAGGAAAGCAGATTGTTTTCCAGTCCCATTCTCGTCACAAAACGAGTAACAGCTTTCTTCATGAGAAAATTTAGCTAAACATATGCCCTTCGCTTTCTTATTCTTTTCACTCACACAATTTTTGCGGCATTGCGCATCATCCTGGAGGGAAGCAAAACGCTTGTCGCATCCTAACCTACTTTAGTGGTTTTCCTATCTTACCGCTGAACTCTGAATGGTGGAGCATTGTAACGCACATTGCGAAGCTCAGGAGTTCTGTTCCTCCTCCCTGATAATGGAGTTAAGAAATTTATATGTAAAAGTTTACTCATTTGAGTACCCAATTTTCTTTGCACCCCGCGGGCAATTCGTTTAGATGAGAACCTTGGGAAAACGCATCCAAGTAAGACCAAGAGTAATGCACGAGCAGATGGTACAAAAAGAAAAAAATTGTTGGTGGGCAAATTAAGATCTATTGGACATTTTTTTATTACCATAACATGTACAGGTATGTTACAATGTTAAAAATGAATACTGACTCTTAATTCTGCTAATGACTCTTAACTAATGATTCAGTAGCACCACTCTGTATCAGTTGATGATGAGCATATGTAATTGAACTGAAGTACCAAGACAAAAACAGGGTTCTGCGGTAACGTTACCAGCTTTCAAACCACCAAAAAATGTAGATAGTTCAAATTCAAATCAACGACAAAGTGTCAACAAATTTTGTCTTAATATTTATATGGGAGGGAACAAATCCAAGACTGGGACGAACCATTCTCAACCTGGTTATTGGTACTATTTTGAAATCAATTCAACAAAAAGACATGTATAGAATTGCTTTGGGTCCAAATGTGCTTACACTTGGACAAATACCGATTTGTACCCAATTAACAACTTAGACGTTTCTGCACTGAATGAGCCACAAACAGTTCAGGCTTTAAGATACAAGGAATTTTCTTTTTAAAATTCTGCCTGTAACTAAAAGGATACTCCAACCATCAGTGCGCAACTGATT